GTATTTCGTGCTTTCCTTATTTGTTATTAATTAAATAAAATTCAAAATATTTTTAAAACAAATATTGTAACCGAAATATTGTTCATCGTTTTTTTTTTGTAGCACCGAATTGCCTTTTTAATTCTTTATCTCCTTTTCTTTAAATGAATTTGAGCTCATGATAATAGCAAATTACTGCATTTTATTCATATGAAAATTAACAAAATAGACTTCAGCTTATGCTTAGATTTTAGGCTTGGAACCAGGCTTTGCCTGTTGCTCGACGGTACCAGTACCGTCGACAGTCATAGTCGACATCGTTCGGATTTTTGAAAAATAAATTTGCTTCTACACGGAGTAGAATCAGCGCTTAGAAATGATAGCAATGATCCACATCCACTGAGCTAATTTATTTTCCAGTTTTTATAATAAATTATCAACTATAAGTAAATTAAAATGATGTAAAATATAAATTATTTCATAATAATAAATTACTGAAATTAATTGTAGTATTATTGCATTAAATCAAATTAATTAATAAAAGTATTGATAATTTATAATATCATATCATTAAAATAAAATTGTATTAAGCAAATTAATTTATTTAATACCTATAAATCACAACATTATCGCAACATTAACTTAATAAATTGTCATAAGTAAATTAAATTCTTTTTATATGATTTCATAAACAATTATAAATTTTCTTTTAAGAGCGCTCACCATTATTGGTTAGGCCCATTCTACTGGCTCATTAGTTGACAGGCAAATTTTTCCAGGTCGTCAGTTGACGATAGAAGTATAAATAAGTGGTATCACAGTGGTGATAAGAATGGTGATAAGTGGTATATAAGTGAATTACAAATATAAAAAAATATAAAAAAAATAAATTATAATATTACGATACTATTTGAATTATCCTTCTTCTAACAACTTTTGTTATTACTGGTTATTCGCCGCAGGAGTAAATCTGTCCAAAAATCCCGGGTGACAATTCACCTGTATTTCTATCGCCAAGGGACTCCCTAGCATATTTGTCCAGTGCGACATGCCAGCGGAGCGAGTTTAACCAGTAGTGGTGAGGACTCTAAGAAAAAAACATTTCCTATCATTATTGGTTAGTCTGGCTGCAAGAGTAAGACGTTTCCAAGTTACTCAGTCCTTTCATTGTTGAAATACAAATGGAATGCCAGAATTATCCAAAATGCAAAAATCTATACCAAAAAAATTCATTTTATAAAATCGTTCTTGAAATTTTTTGCAAGAAAAAATATTCTCAGTGGAGAGCTAAAACATCTAATCATGGAGTTTCGAGGCAATCAGTGTCAATGCGAGATTAACTCGAAATTGATCATCTTCATGTCAGTTCATCGAGCGTATTGCTAATTTTTCATTTTTTTTCTTTTTTTTGGAGAAAAAGGTAAAGGAATGGCAGAAAAGAATGGTGGTTGTGGAGATTTATGGAAATTTATCATTTCGATCATTCACCATTGTTTGATAATGCAATGCCAAAAAAATCTACAAAGATATGAATTCATAGACCATTCATCACCACAAGAAAATTATAAAAAATTATAAAAAGCATATAAAAATTTTTTATAAAATTATAAAAAATTATTGTATTATAAAAATACAAATTTAAATTTTTTTTAAATTGCTTTAAAAAATGTGCTATAATTAGTCGTATTGCAGAAAAAAAAATCCATGAACTTGTAAGCTGATTCATATTAAAGCTTTTTTTAAAATTGTAATTTTTTTGCGAAAATATTTTATCAAATTGAAGCTATCAAATTCATCTCGTTTTGCCAGATCTCAATATTAGAAGGGTTTCAGTTATTCCAGAAAGAATTTTTTCTCGGAAATCTGAAGCTAAAAATAAGTTACATGCAGGTAGATCAAGCAGAATTAAAAAAACGAATCTACGGATTCAAAAATAACTGATGTTGATGCATCATAAAATAATAGCCATGGATTTTGTCTTGTTCCGTTCACGAGAGTAAATCTGTCGGTAAAAGCGAACTTATGATGATCGTTATTCGCTCTAAAATATAGCTGAAGTAGCTTATGCTAAAATATATTTAGGAGTGACCACTATTTTAACATTTTTTTTAGCAGATTTACTGAAATAGTTCCTTTTAATGAGATTAGGTTATATAAATCGTTTCTAGATTTGCCTCTTCAATTCCTCTCTCCCTCCCTCCCATCCTCCCTCTCCTTCCTAAACTTTTCCCAATATGCATATTATTCTATTGTTACAATACACAGAGTTATATGAGGTAGTATCACAGGCTGATTTTTAACATGAACCTTAGCTGCTTTTTATGGGGAGCGCCATAATGGTGTTTCAGTTTTTAGTTCCATGAATTTTCAAATATTTTTTAAAGATTTGAATAGTTATTTCAAAATTCAGGAGACGATGGCTGAAAACTTATAAGCATTTGATTATAAATAGAGCTGTTAGCCATTATTACAACTGTTTTAGCTACAAATGGCGAATTATCGAAATTTTTTAAGAAAATTATTAAAAATTATTCAAAATTATTATTGAAAAGTTATTAAAAATTATTCAAAATTATTATTGAAAATATTATTAAAAATTATTAAATTATTATTATTAAATTTTCTATTTTATTAAAAAGTAAGGTAATGCAATTGGTATAGCGTAACGTAATTTCTTAGTATCGTTTAAATTTTTTTTTTCATGCTTAACGTCTAATATTAAATTCAATGAAAAATTCTTTGCAGATATTGTAAGAAATGCATTAAATGATGCAATTCTAGTTATTCGACTAAAATTTTTATTAATATTTATTATATTTGAAGTGTAACGATTTGAGGAGGAAATCGATTAGTTGACGATTTTTTCAACATAACCTTTCAAATAGAAAGAGAGTTATTCGATTAAACAAAATCCACCACCTCTTCAATAAGGAATCTCGTTTTTTGTGAATATTTAAAAATTTCAAAAGTTTATAGTAAATTCATATAATTTAATTCAAAAACTAACATTTTATTTTATATATATATATATATAATTTTGTGGATGTGAATATATATAAATTCGTGGATTTATTCTATGTTAAATTCTATTTAAATTATTTAAATTTAAATTTTTATTAAAATTATTTAAATTTAAATGTTATTTAAATTTTCTTAAAGATTTAAATTCTTAAATATTTTAGTAAAATCCATGCGAATAAACGCCGTATAAAAGGAATATTTATGGATATTAATCGATCTATTTACGTATTGATTCAATATTTTATTGCAATTACTCTATTTATTTATTATTCTTTTCTAGTGCATTATTCGTCAACTACAATTTATTTTCATGCAAAATAATTTATAATTTCATAAATAGGAATTTCAATTGGTTATAATTTTTGCTTTAAAAAAAAAACGACTTTTTATTGTTTTTTTATTTAATATACTTAAATTCTTTCTCAATCCTAATATAGAAAATTATTCGATACTGTAGGCCAATCCTAATATAGAAAACTATTCGTAAAATGATTCGATACTGTAGGCCAAATCAGCTTTACTATCGTCATATCTAAATTCTCTACTCTGAAAATATTTTCTATAGGGTATTTTGCAAATCCATTCAGAAATGATTAATGCTAACTACTAAACTAATACGTTCAATTAGCCAATATATAAGTGTAATTTTTTCGTTTATCCTTATTTTTTTTTCTTTTCGTTTATTTATATATTTATATAATTTATATTTATATAATTATATATATTTATATAATTATATATTTATATAATTTATTTTGTAAAAAAAAATTTTTTTTTTTTTTTGTAGTCTTTGAATAAAGAAAATATTATTTACATGAAAGTTTCATAGATTTTAGCAATAAAATTTGATTTTGTCTTATTAACAATCCGTTGCTAATAGAGACGAAAATTTTTGAGATTTTAATTGATGCAAACGTTTCGATAAATTTTATTAATAATGAAATAATTTTATTTTATCACAAAAATGAAATTATTTTAAAATTCTTTCAATTTTTTTTTTAATAAATTTTATTTATTTACGAAATAAATTTTATATTTTCGAATATTTTCATATATAATTTCATAATTATTTTAAATATTTTAAATCAAATGATAATTTCTATTACAAATGGTTTTTTTTAAATTTAATTCCTTTTATTTTATGCGAAATTTATACTTTAATTTTATATGAGAAAAAATTATTTATAAGAAAAATATGATATAAAATTTTAAGATGCTTGCAAAAATGATTTTTATTAAGGATAAGCAGAATTAACTACAAAATCCAACGCATCCCTTAATATTCGCTCAAATATCGTTACAATTCTCCATTATTATTCTTTCGAATAATGCTAATCTTACTTTACACTCTCTAAGACAATATTCTCTCCAAATATCTCCCGCTCCTCGATTAAGTTTCCCATTATATATCCGTTTTTCATCCGTTATTGTTGTTCGCGATTATATAATTCGTGATTGCTGTCGTGGCAAAGGTGCATTACGAAGTTTATCGAAACGTTTATGGAAACAATGGTAAATATGACCTTAAGCCACAAATAAGTGTGCTCCTCTTCTCCTCTTGAGGAAATTCCACTAAATATAGCCGGTTTTATAAATCAAAGGCTCTGAATTTGATGGCCTGAGGCTTTGCAATTTGTGGTTGTAATCAGGCACAAAACATATTATAATCCAAGCATTTTATTTTATAGAAGAAGAAAACAAGAATTTAATGTCAAAAGCGATGTTTGTCTATTTATCATATTCATTTCGTTGTTCTTTTTCAGAATAATATTTGTGAGAAATTTTGCTTTTTATAAAAAACGATTACGATAATGAACGTTCCAGCAAATTATACAGATGATAATGGTGTTGATAAGGATTTATGGTCAGCAACAGATATATACGATGATGAAATTGCAAAAATCATCAAAAACGATTCGATTAACCATATAAATTTCGTTGTTCTTTTTCAGAATAATATTTGTGAGAAATTTTGCTTTTTATAAAAAACGATTACGATAATGAACGTTCCAGCAAATTATACAGATGATAATGGTGTTGATAAGGATTTATGGTCAGCAACAGATATATACGATGATGAAATTGCAAAAATCATCAAAAACGATTCGATTAACCATATAAATGCAACAAAAGAAGGATCATCATCTGTAATAATAGCATGGAACTTTTTTAGTAAGTCAATGATCTTTCAAGTCAATTTTTTACTTAATTGCAACACAATTATTAATTTCAGTTCATTATTATCCAAACATTTTCATTATATATATATATTTCACTAAATAAATCGAACATGACTAGTAAAATTCAATAGAGGAGTTCATAAATTGAAAATTTGGTTCCTATTGGTGTTGCAATTTTTTTCTGCTTTTCTTGCTATTTCGCTTTTTCATAAATTTTAGTTTTCAAATTTTTTCAGAATTTATTTATTTACCTTCATTTCTTAAAAATAAAATTCAGTTTATCAGTTTTTTGCTTTTTTTTCACTTGTTTTCTTCACAATGATAATTTATTATACTTTTTATGGCTATAAACCATTAAATGGTTGTAAAAAATTAAGGCATCTGATGAAAAATTAACTTTTTGATAAGAGATAAGATCAAAATTCATATCTCTATATTTAAAATTTATTTATTTATAAATATATTTAAATATATTTATATTTATTTATTTATATTTATAAAATTTATTAAAATTTAAAATTAGTTATTTTTTCATTTCCTTGAGCATATCCTTATTAATCAAATCTTTATTTTTGATTTACTTTTCTCAGCAGTTTTTTTATTTTCAATATTCACTCGGGGGTACAGCTGAATATGAGTTCCCAGAAATTATTTAAATTTTGCTAACAAATTTATTTATAAAAATGGCAGAAATCTTGGCTCATGTCTTCAACAGGAATTGGGAGTTTATAGAAGAATTTTTAAAAAATCGTAAGAGAAACAAAAAAACCAATATTGGGCTTAAAATACCATGGTTTCTTAATATTGGTATTTTAGACGATTTTCCATGGTTACTGTGGACTATCATTGCCGTTGGAATTCTAATCGTATTTGGTATAGCAATTACAATTATTACATTTATGCTTTGTAATAAAAAGTGAGTTAAAATTGATTTCACCATATTAGCGTATGAGGAAATAGCGCATTCTTACGAAGTCAGTCTGGACAACATTTCTTGTCGGAGCTCGAGAGAAGTACAATCTAATCCAGAGTATAGTATTACAGAGTTTCAATATTCTGCTAACCTCGTCTAAATAGTTATAGAAAAATACAAGTATCTATCGATAACAGCAAGGAAAATAGAGGTGAATATAAAAAAAGATTAAAATCTTTTTTAGATCCTGATAAAAGGCCTCTTTCAATTGAATTATTACTATTCGAAGGCTTATCAGACTTTAATCTTGAATCTACTCTGATAGTAAATGATAGTAGTAAATGACATAAGAAAGACAAAGTTCCAGCACAGGGCAGCTAGAAATGCTTCCGCTTTGCGAAACTTTTATAAAATCATCATTTCCTTCTTCCTTTCCTTTTTTTCTTTGGAAGGAAAGGTGCAGTCTTGCTATACGACTAGGAAACCTGGCCAAAAATAGTGGGAAATGTCGTCAGAAAGCCATATGTCCATTGACCATTTTTGACCATTGACCATTTTTGACCATTTTTCTAAAGCGCATCATATTACACGGCTACGATTAATGCCTTGCTGTATTTTTTGCATCCTTCACTCGAATATCATCTGCATTAACAATATTGTCACATCATCGACGATAATTAGGTTCTCAAATATCTGTGATGGATAATATCAAAAATAGAAAAGACGAAGCAAGGCCTGGATTGATTCAATCAAGAGGAATTTTGAACTCAGAAATGGCGAAGTAATATGGACTATGGACCTAAACGATAGAAAAAAGAATAGTTTTTGCTGCTTTCAGATATGAAAAATATCGAACTAAAAGGCTTGATAGCGTCTCATCTTTAAACAACGAAATCTTTAGTTTAACTAATGACCGTGCAAGATGTTAGAAAGAAAAGGGGAAACAGTCATTTTTTAATGGAGTTTATCAATTTTCTTTTTTTTTCTACTTTATTCAAATATTATTCGCCTTTAAATGATTTTTTTATATTCTAATATATTTTATAAATTCTATTTTTTTTAGTAATTAATAAAATCAAAATAGAATTTTTTTGATCCCAGGAAAATAGTTAGACGTGGTAATGGTTATATGAGTTGCAATTTTGGTTCATGCGAAAGTGTCACTCAGTCCATGTGGTCCAAGTTTGTTTTCAGTTTTGCTTTATCTTACTAGGTTATCTTGCAAGTTTTTACTGTTTTAATATTATATCGATAAATTTGCATTATTTTAAAATTGTTTTGACAATTTTTCTGAAAATTGTTTTGACAATTTTTTTTACCTAAATAATTTTTCTTTCAGAATGATTTACTATTATAAATATTACATTATTTTTTATAAAATACTTGAAAAAAATTTTTATTTTATAATTCAGATGGGTTATTTGTAGTCCAAAGTTTATTTTCAAGCGACAAAAAAACTTAAAATCGATGCGGCAAAATTCAGCTAGTAATATGGATCCATATATGAGGCCGCCATTACCACCTATTAATGGATTCAATAAAAATGGTACCACTCTTGATTTCTGCTGTCATTGTTTAAGTCTAGCCTTAATTTATTTCTTTGTTTAATCATTAAAACTTAATCAAATCTCTTTTTATATATTCTTAGTAGTTTATTAATATTACGCAATGTATGGTACTGTTGATGATATGAAATTTTCTTCAAACAGGCGGAACAAATAAAACTTTAATGCTTTAACGGGTATTAATAATATTCACGGTAATTCAGTAAATTTTATTTAAATATTAACTTTATTTTACTAATAATTGAACGGACGTATTTTTTAGAGGTATCTCATTAGAATAGTGAAAAGCAATTTGCGCTAAAATTTATTCACAAAGTTTATTTTCACCTGAAAAGTGTATTATGCAAAAAAAAAAATAATCAGCTCAGGTTATCAGTAATATTCATGATTACTTGCTTTCTATGAAAAAAATTTCGAGAAATTTTCCTCAAGAAACATTTGGCTCACCATGAACAGAGGATAACTCTCTGAATTTTTTCATTTCTTATGATAATAATCATATAATCTTATAATAATCTTATCAGTATCATAAGTAAAGGAATGCAAAGTTCATTTCAATGTTTTTCACTCGTCATTATTTCTAATAGAAAATTTATTTAGATGATGGCTTTCAAGGATCGTTTTTACCGTCGTTGCGTTTGGCTCCTATTAACAATAAAGTTATCGCTCCATTAGCTAAAAGTGATGAAACTGCTGAAGTGACTGTTTTACATTCAAATCCTGCTGGAAATTTGATTCTAGGAACGCAAATCGGTTCAATTCATGGAATTCCAGTGCTAGAAATAGATGATTATCAGCGTCGGTCTCTTCCTATTCCTAAACTCGATGATCCAAGGTAATTCAACGCAACGCAGTAAAATTAATTTCATTCGATGCTATTGATATTTTGATAAAATTTAAAATATAAAATTTATATGAAAACAATAAATCATTTATAAATCAGTGCCATAATGAAACCAGAATCAATTATGAACTAAAAGATCTCTTAGGATGAAAATGAAAAAGAACCTAATTATTTTCAAAAATCGAAATCTATCAATGAAAAATTTTTTTTGTCCGTTTTCATTCGTTTGTCACGTTAAATTAACTGGCAAAACTAAGAAGCTTCTTCATATGTCATTGGCCTGGTTAGTCATTTTTCATATTGATGCGCCTATAATACCGATAGACAGCGACTTTCCTCAAACATAGTGACTTTAGGTTGAAATCTTAACAAGCATGACAAATTGCAAAAATCCAGACGATTTTTTTGCAGCAGCCAAAGAATTTCCTTCGTTTGGTAAACTTTTTTAAAAGAAATATGAAAAAAAGCTAAAAGATGTGAAGTTCAAGCAAAATCAAATGAGATTTATCAGACTTATAATTGAGGCATTACTGATAATATTGTGGTCTATAAAATCTATCCGAGAAGAACCAGTGAATCGAAACCTTCTCCTACCTTCTTGTCACTTTCATCAGTATGAAACTTCCTCTTAATTACAGCTGTTTTTAAATCGATCATTTTTCTATAAAATAAAACTGAAAAAAAAAGCATAAATTATCATGAAAATCATCTTAAGTTTCATTTTAATAAACTATTACAGATATTATAAAAAGAAAAAAATTTCCATTTTACGCGTTTTGGTGCAACATTTGGTGTTTAATGAATAGGCTTCGCAAATTTTTTTAATCGTAGTTCAGCACTGTAAACTATATGATGTGAAGTACCATAAATGAAAAAGAGGAGCGTTATATTCTAAGGATTGTTTCCATTTTACGCGTTTTGGTGCAACATTTGGTGTTTAATGAATAGGCTTCGCAAATTTTTTTAATCGTAGTTCAGCACTGTAAACTATATGATGTGAAGTACCATAAATGAAAAAGAGGAGCGTTATATTCTAACGATTGTAAAGAAGCTTCAAAATGGGTGAACCAACTATAAGGTTTAATTGAGGAATAGTACCACAACCTTTCCAAACTGTTGTTATTTCTGTTATACCACAACCTTTCCAAACTGTTTTATAATATTGTTTTTCGTAATTAATGTAAAAAGCGAAAGCAGTGATTCAATGATTAGACAAGCTGGGAAACTCTAATGAAGAGTTTGAAGTGAATATCGAAAACCATCAATTGAACCAAATTATAGCGGTGAAAAAGAAACTTTTTCGGATTATCTTTTTTTGCTTCTGGTAGCAATCACCATTTTCTATTTGGTTGGCTCCACTTACTATAGAATATATTTGCCATACTTAGGAATGCAAAGATAAAAGGATAGTCATTTCATTTCTATTTAATGGTAAATAGTGTTTTTTTTTGAATTTCAACTTTATAGCGATTTTACTTCTATCAAAAGGGTCGAATCCATGATGCTTGAGCCCATTGCTCATTTAAAACATACTCTACCATCCTGCCGGAGAAAAATGTAGACCTCAACAAGCGCCAGCACTTCAAAATGGCACCACTAAACCATTTTTCCTCAGAATTTCTTGTTATTCACTTCGGTTCATCCTAAATTTATTTTATGGATTTATTTAATTCTCGTAGTTTTTGAATGAAACTGAAAATTCTAAAGTGAGCATTTAACAATGAGGCATTTGAAAATGGAAATAGGAAGGAATAATCACTACATACATTGCACACATTGGAACAGAGATGGAAAAAAGATTGGAACATGATAAAGCGATATCAAAGTGATAATGTGGGAAATGGGAAAATGGAATTATTAATATAATTCAAATTCAAAGTCTGGACTGGCAGTATAGGAGACAATACATTTAAAAAAAGTGAATACTGTTATTCGCCGTGATAGTTTTGGTGTGTAAATGGCTCAGTGGCAAGACAATTGCTATCGAGAATAGAGGCTTGGATTCGAATTTGCCGATCAGTGGCATGGCCGCCTAACGGAAAAAAGCAGAGTAGAGTAGAATAGCTCAATTGTTGCTAAATTCGGAGCTTCGATGCTGAAATTCTACTCCCGACAAGAGTAAGCCTGTCCAAAAATTCAGATAATACTGGCGACTCACATTCGTCAGTCGTCAAGGGACTCCTGGTGTATTGATCTAGTCCGAGAAGCCAGCGAGCGACTCTAAACAGCAGTGGTGACTGTTCTTCAAAAAAAATGGTTTCAGATCGTGACGCCTGGAAATATTTTAGCGGTTATTAGTTCTGCCAACATTTCACTTTTTCTACTTCTTTTCGTGGTACAGCAAAGCATGAAAAATTTTTTTTTGCATTTTAAAATATGATGCATCTGAAATTTAGGTTTAAATTTATTCCATTTGAACAATTCCCATTTCAATACAAATACAAATACAAATCCCATCGGATTATCATAAAAAGATTTCATTAACACAAAGATAAGGGGAGTAAAGATAGCAGGCTGATAGGCAAAGCAGGAACGATTCCTTGTTCATTAATGAAAATAACGTGTAAACTGAAATGAAACTGAAATGTCTTATAATTTCTCTAGCAAAAGTGTTATATTGTAGTAATCGGTAAAATCAGTAAGCCTATTAAAAAAAGGATGATTTGCTATATATCAGCGACTCAATTAACATAAAAAAAACAGACTGCTTTTTTATCAAGAAAAAATTTTTGTATTCTGTTCATTTCTTTAGGAATGACCATTCTGGTTAGACTCGCTTCACTGGCTTATCAGATTTGACTTCTCTGACTGGGCAAACATGCCTGCGAATCTCTCGGTGATAGCGATACAGGTGAATTTAATCATCACCCGGATTATTGGACAGGTTTATTCCTGTCGAGAGTAGAACTGCAACATCGATGCCTAGTGAGCTATTCTTTTATTCCTTATTCTTCTTTGCTTTTTTCGTTAGGCGATATTGTCACCCGACGAACTGTAGTAGTTCGTCAGCCGGAATCGAAGCCGAGCCTCGATCTTCGGTGGCAATTATCTTGCTAATGAGCCACAGTACTGCTTTCTGTTCATAGGCATTTTCACTTAAAAATAGGTGAAAAATTGCCGAAACAGTTTTTCATTAAGTAATAGATTTTTTTAATTCATACTCTTTTGTTGGTTAAATCCATAAATGCATTGATTTTAAATGAGAATAATTTCATTCTTTTCAAGATAATTTGTTTTTATAATTTAAAATTGTCGAAATTAATATGAGGATTTCATTGTTCCTTTGTTTTTTCCATGCATATTTCTAGAACAATCAATCAAAATTTAATTCATAGTGGCACGGAAGATTTGTTTGAACCAGTTGACATAGACGGGGTCAAAGAGATAAAGAAGAAGATTAAAGATGGTCATTTTCACTTTTCGCAACTTTGACCTTATCATTTCATCATTCATAGTTCTTCTTATCATGCAAACGTCGTCGAAATTTTAGTTACACATCTTAGCAATTGCGCATCATTAGTTTCCATTAAAAAACATCCTTTTTCCTTTCTTTTAAAATCTCGTTCAAATGCCTTTAGGCTATTCGAAATTCACTCTTGTCGCCCATAAATATAACGGTCATTTTTGTTTATTCCAGTAAGACATCACAAGATCTTGGCAGCATCGTTTTTTTTTATTTTTATTTTAATTATTCACTAAATTTTCTGATATTATTATGAATAGATTTTAGCAAATGTTCTTAACTAATTATTATTTTTGTTTTACTAAATTCACTAAATTTTCTGATAAATATTCTTGATTTACAAATGAAATCATCTATTAGTTTTAGAGGGTTGTGCTCAGCTGAAATCGAAATGTTTCGGAATTATTTTAGACGTCAGATTCTGATAAATTCTGATAAGCCCTGTGATATTAACTCGCAATATTTTTACCGTTTATCCTAATAACTAAATGTCGAAATGTTTCTGCGTTGTTTTTATTGATAGAGGCTCAATATTTATGATTTTTCACATGTAGATTCGTCCTTAAACTGTTTTAGTTATACAAATTTTCAAACATGAGAAATTATATATTCTGGACATATTCTGTAAGGATTAGGCTTAAGAATTCAGCAAGGGCTATTTATTACTGAAATGATTATAGAATTAATTCGCTATTATTCTTAGATTCATTACTATTCCATTGAAGAGACAGTATGATCCTGCGAAGTTTAATTGTAGAATAATGCTAATCTAATATTTCGCTTCATTAAATAGACATGAATATTTAGAAAAATTTAGTATATAATATAATATATTTTTTTAAAAAAAAAAATATTTTCATTGTTTGCTGGGGATCAAAAATGGTTTTCTTACGTTATCATGTTATCAAATTATCACTTTCACGATTGTTAAGCAAAATTATTTATAAATTTAATTCGTCGAAGTAATAGAGGAATATTATTATGTTCATTTATGAATTATCGAAAAACAGCGATGCGTAAAATATTTGTGTCAATGTAAAATATTTATGTTGCAAACAAATGTTATTTTCGCAAAAGTCATTTGCTCTACGCGAACGATGATACTTATTCATTTATCCGTTGGACGTGTATGAAAACTACCGTTAATATGTGATATGAACTATACGATGAAATATTTTTTTTTCATCAAAATTTTTTAAATACTTTAAATATATATGTACTTATCTTGGCACAGAGATATGCCAGAGCTTTCCTTCTGTTTGGATGAAATGGAACCATTTTTTGAGCCACTAAAATTATATTTGAAACCAGTCGTGCTACTCAATATTTCCGTATCTCTTCCAAGGCTTAAACAGGCTGGACAATCGATTTCAAATAGAGATCTCATAGAAAGGATCAAGAAAGCCATAAAACCCACTGAGGTAATTTTTCACACCGCATTACTCAAATAAGAGAACGCTTTTAAGGTTTGCGTGTGCAAAACGGAATGAACAATTCTAATATTGATAGCAAGCCAAGGAAGCAATGACCGAAAACGAATTGATGAACTGTAATATCAATAAAATGGTCTCGAAATACATGAGTTCATTTGATCCACAAAAATGGGAGAACTTCGCTGATCAAATAATTCTTTATTTATAATGACTTTGGTCTGAAAAATTTATCAAATACACCTTTACTGATTATCATTAATAACACTTAATTACAATTGAGAACTATCCGCTGATTCTTCCTTTTTTTGCTGACGTAATTTTCACGACCTGGTGTGGATGTAATTTTTCAACGTATCGATAGATATATATATAATGATGTATAATGTGGGGCATAGAACGGTTCAGTGGGTTGTTGCTCGATTCGTAGCGCCAATGCTGAGAGTCTAATTCCTGCATCCAGCAGAAGAAAATCTATCAAAAATCCGACTGATGCTGATGACTCACCTGATTTCTATCGCCTAGGGACTTCTTGGCATATTTATCTAATACGATAAACCAGCGGAACAAATCTAATCAGTAATGATGATGGCTCTTAAAAATATATATATACAATATGTGACCATAGACAAAGTCGAAACTGATATTTATTATAAGATTTGGAAATTTTTAAACTAAATTAAGCGATGCACGAGAAAATTTTCAGCTAACATCGATTCGAATATGTGCGTATACAATCGATGTTATACGATTTGAAGTAGAATTATCAAATCGAAAAGCACTGACCAAAGTAGTTTATATAGTTTAATCAATTAATACATTGAATATTGTTTATAATTTTATTTTTTCGAGATTAAGTGAATAAAAAAAATTGAAGCAAACGCTTCAGCAAAATTTCACGACCTGGTGTGATGCAATTTTCCAACGTATCATTGGGGATAGGATGGCTCAGTAAGTTATTGCTCAATTTGGAGCGTCGATACTAAGGTTCTATTCCCAGCAGGAGTAAACCTATCCAAAAATCTGCGTGATACTGGCTCACTTGTATTTCTATCGCCAAAAGACTTTCTGGCATATTTGTCCAATGCGACAAGCCAGCTGAGCGAGTTTAACCAGTAGTAGTCAAGACTAATAAAAAAAAAAGAAATTGAAGGGTTTTTAAAAAAGAAATAAGAACTTGAATTTCGCTATACGTTGTATTCCCATTTAAGAATTCTTAATTTTTAGGAAATTAAATTTGTATTCTTTAAAGCCTAACTTGTTTTTTTTCTTAATGGTCCAAGATAACTGAGAAAACTTGATTTTTCTTGAATTTTTGTAATAAATTGAAGATAATAACATAGTTGTTGCCGAGATTATCACCTTGAACAAAACTTGTTGACTATTAGTATTCTAAAACTACCTCTGCTATTACCTCTCATAAGGAATTAATCAAAGAATCTAGATTCCTCTTTTACTATAGTTCCTTAACCCTATAACTCCTTTTCTAACCTAAATGACACTCTGGCGAATGTTTTTTACCGTACTTATGGCCAGAGCGAGGCCAGTGGAGCTTGTGGATCTAGAAAATATTGACAACCAAACTCTCATTAATTTATTTTCACTTATTTGTTACTTATAAATGGAAAATTAACAAATGTTTTATTTTCTAGGATCTTTTTTCTAAGATTCAATTTTTAGATTTATAAATATAAAAATCTCATTGTAAAGAAGAAATTAAAAACCAAATAATATTGAGGTTATCAATGTCCTTGATGGACATTCACTGAAAGTTGTCGGTTGTATTGAACCACTAAAAATTCGTGCAGCTAAAGCAAAGTCGAGTTTTCCAACGAGACATGATTGGGACGATTTTTTTCGAAATACAAATAATATGGATCAAATGAAACCAGGCGAACGACCGGACACTATATATCTCAGCAAATTGCCAATCGACTGGTTTAAAGTTAGTGAATTAGGAAAGTTTGATCGCATAAGATTTTTTTTAAAAATAATTCTTTAAAATCTTTTATAAATAATTTTAAAAAATCATTTCTCACGAAAATTTTTGCAAATTTTCGATATTGTAATTTTAAAAATCGAATAATCGTTATTTATTTATTTATTTATTTATTTTTATTATTTATTTATTTATTTATCCTTTACGCTACCATCAATTACCATTGAATAATCTTCAAAAAAATTAAAAGGATAAGAAGAATAATACGCTTCCAAGCGAAGATCTATTGCGACAGATTTTTGAGCAATTTGGAGCTATAAGGTGTGTTGATATACCTGCTTGCGATCAGTACAGAAAACGAATGCCTCCATCGATATCCGGTATTCAAAATTCTGGTTTTCCTTTCGCTGAGGTAAGCTTATAGCAGATATTTAAGATGCTACGGTTAGCTGAAAATCTTACAGAAATCTTAAGTTTACGTTTTAATTAAATCATTTACAGCTATCTTTGTTAGAAGCGAAAATTGGTAATTCTAAATGCATAAGCAAATAATTGCGAGAGGCTTCTGGATTGAGGGCCATTTTTTATTGCTTGCCTTTTAAGTTATGGAAGGTCAATAACGGTTGTAGCCAAAAGTATAACCTTTTCCATGAAATTCTGATTGGTAGAACCATGTTCAGCTGTCGATTTTTTTCCTTCGAAACTCAAAAAGTTCATGAAGTTCATGCAAAATAGTACATTTAAAATGTGAATAGAACCCTATTGTTTTATAATTTTTTTCAAGAAATAACTATATTTTGCGAGTAATAAACAATCTTTTTCACTTATTTTGCGACTTTTTTCCTTTAATTTAGGAAACAATGTTCGATGTATATATTCAATTTGTCGAATATGTCTCATTTTTGAGAGCAATGAATGGTTTACGAAATATGAAACTTGCGAAAATGATGGATAACAATGTCATAAGTGAAACAATGATAAAAGTAGGCATGGTGGATCTGGTGCAATGTTTGATTTTTCCACCCAACCAAATTTTTTATTTTAATTTATATCTTTAAAATGATCTTTATATGCCAGAAGTTTTAAAAATTTTCCGAGGCATCCTAAATTAAATTAGAAAAAAGAAAAAAGATCTGCGAATGAAATAAATCAATGAATGGCTTTTTTTTGCCAAAAAATAATTCCGCTAAGAAAATTCAGCCGTTTAAAAATCAACGAAAATTTCCATACAAAAAGTAGAAGGTTTTTTTTTTCGGTCATTATTTAGATGGTCGCTTAGTTAAATAATGGCAATAATAGAGAGATATTAAGAATAAGATTTATGATAGATATTTAGGAATTTATTGGATATTTTATAATTTCATGACAGTGTGGGCGCATCAGCAGTTTTATTCGTATAGGTCGATTTTGATAAAACGAAACATCTGGCTGATGATTCTATTCAAAAACGACAACTCTATCGTATGCAACTAATACAAGAAGACCAAAAAAAGCAGCAAATGAAGGAGTATATTTTTTTTCACTTCTCTTCTAAAAGCGCTTACCATTTTCACTTGAAATTCACTCTATCATTCTATCGCATAAATTTTGCCAGGCCTTAGCAAATAGAAGTGCAAGTGAATTGCACAGTTGCACATTCCAAAAGAATATACTTATATTTTTTTTTTTAGTAATTTTCGATAAGTTCCATAAAAATTCTTCTGTTCTGGCAAATCATAATAATAATTATTTCAAATTTTTATTTTAAATGATCAAAAATAACCATCTTTTTTAATTAATTCTGCAAATTTTTAAAAGCAATCGAAATTTTAATGACGATTTTATTGGAATAGAACGTATATTACATGTAAAAATGTAAAAATATTTAAGAAGTTTCCATTATTTATTTCTAATATTCTTATTTTAGGAAAAAGGAAGAAGATAAAATGATAAAAAATTTAGTAGCAGAAAAAAAAGAAGAACGGAATAAAAGACGCTTAGAAAAAAAAGAGTCATCGCATCTAAAAGTATCGATTTCAGTATTTGTAAAGAATTTTATATATTTGCCAGATCGATGAGACATAGTTCCATTGATGATTCTGAGACATAGTTCCAAAACAATGAATAACAATGAAATATTTTAATATGAATGAATAAAAGGAATACGTGAGTGAAATGCCAAAATTTCAATAAAATCAGATAGCTTTTACTCTAAAAACCGCTTAAATTTGCTAATTTGGCTCTTTTAACAAGAAAATAAAGAACATATAAATCAAACTAAGGCAATAAAAGAATTAATAAGTACCATTCATCAACTAAAATTTTGCTGAAAAGAATTTTTTCAATTTAATGAATGAGTTTATGAGTATATTTTTGTATGTCACTAAAAAAAATTTCATTCATATAAAATCATTTTTTATTAGTAGATTTAAGCAAAAATAAATAAAAATTATAGGAGAGGCAACCAGAGTGTGAAAAGATTAATACGAATACAAACGTTAATTGTAAAACAAATTTCGAGACAGATTTCATGCAATCGTTGCTGAAAGAACATGAACAACGCCTAAGACAACGAGTTGGTTGTTTTGGTTATTTTTTATCGCTTATTTTATCGTTTTTTAAAAATTCATATCTAATATTGCGAAAGTTTTAATTATAGATTGAGGCAAAATTAATGCTAAGATTAAAAGAAGAAGGATGCTTTATCGATGAAAATCATTGCGTTCATAATCATTCTATTATCAACACGAAAAAACAACGAATGGAATAAGAATGGATTTTTTTATTCCGAGTTCCTTATTATTCCTATAATTACATAAGGACTAATGATAACTAATGATAATGATAATGATGTTAGCATGCTAACTGAGATTAGAGTAGATGAAAGCTTTTATGCCATCAAATTTCTTCGAGTTCAACTTTCAAATTCAACTTTATTAGCCAATTAATTTATTCTTAATAATTATCGGTTGATATAGCGAAACAAAAATCTTTGTCTTTCATTAAAATCTCATCGAAAATTTTCGATAATGTTCATCAATTAAAAAAAAGGGAAAAAAAATAGAAAAAAGTTTTCATGGAGGTTAAATTATAAATAAACTGAAGCATTAGCAAAAACAAAATACTAAAAAATTTTTTTCAAATCCATTTTATTTTTACATTCATTTCCCTTATTATTTATTTATTTATTAACTAATAAATATTTAAAAATATTTGGATTAATTGCATATTTAAATCTGTTCTATAAAACTGTTCCAAATTATAAAAAATTTATATAGAAATAGTTTAATAAGTGAAATTTAATAAAAACAATAGAAATTTTAGAATAATGCAAATATAATTTTAAAAAATAATGCAAATAAAAAATAAATAATAAAAAAAAATATGTGTGGGAAGAAATTATGATGGAAAATATTCAAAACTATGTTGTATTTCATAAGTGAGATGAAAATTGCAAGAAAAATTATACAAATAAACAAGTATATTTTATTTTATACATAAAGCCAGAGCCGATTTTGTCAGGCAAAACCAACACAACATTTCGCTGAATACCCTTAGCGCCCACTAATGGAACGTTATTTATATGTAATACTACTTATAGGTATATAAAATTGGCAATTTTAGTGAAAAATAACAATTCAAAAGAAAATTTTTGCCTACATTTTCTATAATTTATGAAAATATAATTTAAGAAAAAAAGAAAAAACAGTTTATATATAAAAGTTAACAAAATTATTAATAATAAAATTGAATAATTCAGAAAAACAAAAGATCAATTTTTTTTTAAAGAACCATCACCATGACTGGGCAAATAGAATCTCTTGGCGATAGAATGGCAGGTGAGTCGCCAGTATCACCCGGATTTTTGAATAGGTTTATTCCTGCGCGCAATAAAACCTCAGCATCGGCACTCTGAATTAAGGAACAACCCATTGAATTATTTCTACCTTTTCGTCATTCGGCAATTGGTCAATACTATAGAAAAAGTGATAAACGATAATTTTAAAGTCGAAATCTTGCCTTCCTTGATTTGATTTGATGTAAATTTATTTCTTTTAAAATTTCAATCTACTTCAATCTTTTCTAAGATATTAGCCTTAGTAGATATCAGCTATCATTTATTTATCTCGAAAAAGATCTATCATTACTCATGTTACTTACACTGGAAACATCACTAGTACCAACAATAAAATTGCTAATTGCACTTAGTAAAAATATGAGCTGTAATAATGTATAATAGTGAATTAATCAATCTATGAATATGGGATATAAGAACAATTTTGAATAAGCGCTACAATTCGCAATCAATCCTCTCGATCTTTCCTTGGGTAAGGCCATCCGAAAAGTTATCTTTCTTACATTAATCTCCCATTCTTCTGGTAGAGAGCCAGAGGATGCACCATACTCCTACAAGGAGTCAAAAGTAGCACTTTATTATAAATATATATTGCAATAATTGCACCGTGCCCCAATTCTTTGATGGTTTCATTGGATATCCTCAATTCTTCATATAAATCTTGACCATTGCTATATATCTTGCTATATTGCTATCATATCTTTATCACCACTCACTATGAATTATTGTACTTTTTTTCAAAGATTCATTATTTAGATTTCGGTGCAATTTGAGAGGGATTGAAACTTTTTTGTAACGGATTGTTCGAAGACTGTAATATTGAATATACAATTTGAAGGAAAATATAGTTTATACCCATGTCGGCATATCCTCTCTCCTTCAAACATTCCTTTCTTTTGTCTGCGCAATATATTTACTTTATCTGAATGGTGAACAAATTTCTTAACCATTTGCCGGCATCTTTTGCTGATTCAAGTTCAATTTGAAAGTTTTCATCTCAGTGGAAATCTTGAAAAAAAAATTTAAATTGTTATGCTGCAGTCTCTTCCTTCCTTCCTTTCTTCCTAGCTGTCACGTCCAATTCTAACGCCTCAACATTCTCTCGCCTCAACATGGGCCATACCGATAATAACTTTTATCATAAAATTTTTGAGAAGACGAATAAGAAAATTTTTAGTACCACGTGCGCTACGGATTATTTCGGTATTTGGCAGGAAATGGCACTTCCTGAAATCGATGAGGAATTGCTCTTTACTACGGCTTTGATACTCAATAACAAGATGCGAATACTCATTATCGACATCAAATTGGTAAATCCCCTTGCGCCATACTTCTTTACCGGTTCTGTATGAGAAAAGATTTTGTGAAAAATTATTTCAGTTAATAAATACAGTTCATGCACTGGCCGAAATTGAAGGGAAAATTAAGTATAAGTATACATTACGGAAAAAAATTGTGAATAAATAATATATTTCATATAATATTAAAATATGACATTATAGAAAAAAAATTGTAAATGAACCAATATGCTTTATGCATTTTAAAAAAATGATTAAAAAAATGAAAAAATTAATAAAATAAATTAAAAATAAAAAATACATAAATTCTAAATTTCATGAAAGCGATAAAATTATCAGAAAAATTGTGTCGGAAAATAAAACAAGCGTACAAGAAAAAATATTCAAATATTTAATATTAATATTTAAATATTAAAAATATTAAATATTAAAAAATATTTAATAAATACGTAAGTTTTCATGCAATTGGCAAAAAAGAATACAATAATATTTCAGGAAAAATTTTTTAAAATTAGTACATTTTTTTTTGTTGAAGAAAAATCAGTTGCTTAAAATGATTATTCATAGGGAAATCGGTTTAATTTTAAGTATATTTTATAGTTTATAGATAAAACCTTAGTTTATTAGAATAGTGTCGATTTAGCAATAAGCGATTCCTATTTTTTGGTGACATTAGTGTAGAACGCTTCTTAATTTAATTTAAAATTCTGCAAAAATATACAGAAGGCGCATAGCGTCAAATAAGCGTTTTATTTATTTGACCTTGGCACTTCAACTATGAATTTTTTGCACATTTATATTTCATTTTCGCCTTGTTGTTACTTGCTACTCATAGCAAAATCATTCAAAAAATTTATCAAAAATATTTGGTTAATAAATGTGACAATTATTTATGTGTATGTTTATATATGCGACTTTGTATTTGCGACGAATGTCTCAAACTTCGGCCTGCTTTGTTGAATGCCTTTAACATTCTGCAAAATTTGCCACATTTTGCCAAAAATAGCTCCAAAACCCTTTTAATGCTCCTTAGCACTTCAAAATCATTGCTTTACTGTTCTTGTATTTTTGCCGAATCCATTCAGACTCAGTTTCAGCCTCTTAAAACAATTCTTTTCAATATATTCTCATAATACCCTATAAAAATTTCCCATCTATTCTCGGAATGCGGCGATTATAGACGTAAATTACGAAATCAGAAGAAACAAAATGATAATGGGTACCGAAAAGCCATAATGGTGATCGGTGGATGGGAGCGCGGAATATTAAGACAGAATAATGATGAGGACTTGGCAAGTTTTTTCTTTAAGAGTCCTCCCAATACTGGTTAAACTCGCTCCATTGACTTATTGCATTGGGCAATATGCCAGGGAGTCCCTTGGCGATAGAAATACAGGTTAGTCGCCAGCATCACCCGGATTTTTATAAGGTTTACTCCTGCATGGAATTGAACCTCAGCATCGGCGCTCCCAATTGAACAGCAATACACTGAGCCATTCTATCATCCAAGTATAAAAATAGGATTTGGCAAGTGTAAAAATAGTAACATGACCTGACGAAATGTTAAGGGTATATGAAGTTTTACGAAGAGGTATAGGCAGACAGTTCTAAATCTTATTTGTTAAAGGGGCAGAAGGGCTAATTACCAGAAAAGGGGGCCGCAGTTGAGATATTTTGCGGCAAATCACTTGCTGTAAGTCGATAAATATTGGTTATCTAGTTTATGGTAATTTTATTATGGTGATTTTTAGTTATAGTAAATTAGTGATAAATGATAGATGATAACCGCGGATTCCTTTAGCATAGCCTATTTGTCGATTTGTAAAATTACAAATGCGTCTATAAATATAAAAGTTTTTTTTTCGAAATCCAGATTGCTTGGACAATTAAACATACTGCTGCTTATGCAGAAATTTATGCATATTTTTTTTCAATTCAATAATTTTAAATAAATAATAGAAAAAGGAAAAAATTAAGAAGTACCAAATGGCAACAAATCGGTGATTGACGTCTATATTTTAACATTCTTAAAATCTTTTTTTAAATTTCACTTTACATTATTAGATTTTTTTTTTAAAATTTCGCTTAACTTTTTCCTAGATAATCGAATAAAATTCTTCTTAAATTTGAATTTTTTAAATTTTTTTCTTAAATTAAAATTTAAATTAAATTCAAATAAATTAAAATTAGTTATATCGAAAAAAAACTTTTAACTTCTAAAAACATTGTCAAATTAAAGTTTTAGACTGCGTATAAAATTCCCACAAAATTTTTTATTAGCCTAGGAATCAATACAATTAATTAATTTATTTCAATTTATAAATTAATTTGGTTAATGAAATTTTGATATTTTTTTTTATAATTTTGAAGTAAAGTATTTAATGAAAATTATAAAATTCCAAAGCATAAATTGTAATCGTTCCACTAAAAGAACTAAAATCTGGTTTATTATCATTAAACATTATTAATTTCAAGAATTTTTTTGCCTCTTTGTCAAATTTGATAGCAAATTGAGCGATCAATTTTTCAAGATTTAATTTTTTTTAAAAAATTTTTCAACCTTCTATTTGCTATGAAAAATGTTGCATAAGTCCATGTTCGTGTAATTCTGTCGACTTTTTTAAAATTTATGTCAACGAATTATTTGAAAAATTTTCTTCTTTGATAATCATTTTTCACTCTTTTTTCAAATAAAATTTTAATTTTTTTCTGGGAAAATTTGCTTATAAATTTAATAACAATGGTTCACTAAAGAAAACCTTATTTCATTTCATTTTATTAGCCAAATTAACCAAATCGGTGAGTTTTAAGAAAAAAAACCAAAGTAAATTAAGGTTTTAAAAAAAGATGAAAGTGAATTTACTCAGAATGGATTGATCAGTTTCTGCAAGTGAATAATTTTTACATCCATTGAATTATTATTATTTTGAGAATTTAAAAATCAAATTTTAGCTAATAATTTCTAGATAATTCGTATGAAAAATATGAAAGGAATGCTGCGACAAGTTTTGAGCCCTTCAGCAAGCTGCTAACTTGTCGGTTTTTTGTCGTTTCCATTATTTCTTACTTGCCCATTTTCCTCTTTTCCTCTTCTCATTTTAGAATGTTTCCAGTAAATTTTATTTATTCTGTTTGTTTTTTTATTTGGCTATATTTTTTTTTGAAGATTATCGTTCTTCTTCCGATTATTATTTTATATTTCAATGTTATTTTCATTTATTTTAAGAAAATTCTCATTTTCCAAGTTTCCAAGTTTGGACGAAAAAAAATTATATGCAAGAAGATTTTTCATCTATTTATTTGCTTCTGCAGAAATAAAAAATAAAATCCTTTCGTGGTGGATATTCTATAATCGCTAAAAGTGAGATGATTTATTGCTGATGCTGGATTCCACTTCTGATAAGTTGAAGTGAAATCTTATCTCTTTCAAAAATCCCGGTAATGCTAGCTATGAGTAACCTATACACTAATCGTAATTCAAGTCATTCCATAGCAAAATGATCCGATTTAACTGATCCGAAACAAGTGGAGCGAGCTTAACGAGAAATAGAAATTTTTCTAGACAAAGAAAATTAGCTAAAAATGGTATTTGAAAGAATGAAAATCAATTTAAATTATATTTATTCATATAAAAAACAATTCAAATGAGGTTTTAAATTTTATTTTTATAAACAATACAGACAATAATTTTCTGAACAATTATTTAAAACTTCTATCCTATACTACAAATGAATAAAAATATTAAAATCGAGGGGAAAAAACGCGTTGATCTATCCATCGCTTAAATATTTCTGCAATCTCATCCATTTAAATTTTCCATTCATAACGATGCCCTTTCTTTTACACTTCTTAACCTTTTTTTTTGCGCATCTTCCAAGAAATTTTTTAGCTGATTTTTTTAAAAATTAATTTTCAAAAAATGAAAATTAAAATATGAAATGAAAAATTAAACTTTCTTAAAAGTGTTTTAATTCATTTTATTTATTTTGGTCAAAGAAAATGGCTGAACTAAAAGTTCTTTCACAATTTTTCCTTTTTTTTGCTATGTTATTAATGTAATTTCATATTATTTGTTAACGGTTAGTTTTCGTTTAAACAAGCTAGTTTTTACATTCTTTACAGGTGTGAGATGCTTGTTGCTTTAGGCCATATTTCTCACTTTCAACATTTTAATTTTTGAAATGACTTTTTTTCTAAGAACATTTACCATTTTCAGCCAGCCTCGTTCTGTTCGCTTGCTGGACCAGATAAATTTCGCTAAGAAGTTGTTTATAGATAAGTCGTCAGGATTTTAAAAGCACGAGGAGTAGAACTCCTGCACCAGCACTTCGAAATGGGAGCAATAGGTCGCTGAGCCATCTCATCCTGTCGCAGTGAATAACTTTTTTTAAAAGTGCTCACCATTACTGGCTAAACTTGTTCCGCTGGCTTGTCACATTGAGCAAAAATAGCTAGGAAATCCCTAGGCGTTAGAAGCCGGGTGAATCATTGATGAATAAGAAAATTTAAAACTTTTATAAGGAATGACTTATTTATTCGTCTTGAACGCTAATGATAAGTGATAAAATAAGTGAAAAAATATATGTAAAATATTTGTACAATTTATTGGGAAAAAAAATTGAATTTATTGAAAAAAATGAAGAAATTCATAAAAAATTGTATTAGAAACAATTCGCACATAACATGTAAAATAAAACAAGAAAAGTATCATTTATCAATTAGTTTGGAATTTTTTGATAAGAGTGGAAAATTAATGATCTATTACAACGTTGAGAAATTCATGGAACCATTAAAAGCATTTTAATTTCTTACTGTGGCTGTTCTTGCAAAATTTTCCATTGAATTTTCTTTATAAAGTAGAATTTTTTCGCAATAAATAATTTGATAAAATCTGACAAAATGGATGATAAACCGAATCGACAGTGGTCTCAAATTTTTTAACATTATTATTGCATTATCTTATCTTAAATGAATTTCTATATTGGACATAGCATGAACACAATTTCAGCATATTTGTGAAATCTTCTTTTTAGAAAAAATCTTAAGCGATTGAAAAATAATAGAAAATATTCAGTGATATTGCCGAAAATCTAACAATCTCCGAGTCGTTCATGGCTCGAAAACTTTTACGTTCGGTATTTTTGTATTAATTTAGTAAGTAATTTCGCGATATTTTTTATGCAAATCTTATTTCATGTTCTTATTTTTTCTATCAAAAACGTTAAAGTTCTTGATAATTAAATATTCATGGTTAAAGCTCATAAACGGTTTATTTTCTATTTGTACTATTTAGTGTGTTATGCCAACATAAATTAAAACTTTTTAAAACACGTTCTTCTTAATTATCGTTACCATTTACATGTTTCAAAGCAATCATCAAGTCTATATTTCTAATAAAATTTTGTTTTCTAATGCAAAATAGCGGGCTTGTTTTATCGACCATATTTTGGGTTATATTTTTGTCGAAAAATTTTATTGACGAGTAAATTTGCTTACCACATTAGATGTTTTCGGGCCTTTAATAAATTTATTTCAGTATTTATTTCAGTTAATTCTTCTCCAATTTTCAATTATTTCAATTATTTGTTTTGCTTTCCGATGTTTGCTATAAGCGTAAATTTTCAAAAAAGAATGATGCTTTTTGATGCAAATTCCTTCTTACATGCACCAAAATTATATCCGCTTTTACAGTAAGTCCAATTCATATATTGACGGTGGTAATTGTGGTATGAAAATAAAGCCGGCCCTGAATATACTGTCCGCCGATTTCAATCCTATATTTCTCTTCACGTGAAAGGAAAGAGAAATTAATTTATTCATATGTGAGACAAATGGGTTCATTTTTATACCATATTTATTCCTATCAAATCTGACTAATATGCCTTGTTTTTTAATAATTTTTACTTTTATTTTATTTTTTACTTATTATTTAATTTTTCATTATTCTCCTTTTTCATCTGAAAAAAAATCTTGAATAGCACTTTGGACATTAGGTTTTTTCCTAAATAATAAACCTTTTGAAAGTTTTTTAAAAAAGTTTGAAAATTATTCGAAAATTTAGACATTTAATTTACGATATTTTATTTTGATTTTCAGAAAAATGCTACAATAATATTCATAATTTTTGCGCAATATATAGAAATGAAGTTAAATTTTTTGAGAACTTTTCAAATTTTCATAAATTCATAAAAATTTAAATGAATTTTTAATGAAAAATTGTAAAAAAGGAGATCTGAGATTTTTCTTATCCGAATAACCTACAAATAACTTGCTTTCATTAAGAAATCCTAGAAAATTTTTGTGTCATTGAATTTCTTTTTATTATTAATTGAAACAAAATGCGATGTTTTTCTCGAAGATAACTTTAAGGAAGATAAATAATTTCTGTCGTTGTCAACGATAATATTTATTCTTTTTGCTTAATTTTTAATTTATATACAGATAAACTTATAAGAAAATTACTCATTACCATATCTAAAATATTCATTATTCTACCAATCTTATTTGCTTAATAATTATATTAATACTACCATTAATTGATCTCCGTTAATAGATTTACAATTTATGTAATTAATTCATTTTGAATCGGTTGAATCGGTTAGCTTATGATATGATATAATTTATTTTATCAGAATTTTCGATTAATGAAGCCACTAATTCAAAATACTCTTCGCATAAATCTTAATGCTTGTATTGGTATATTAATTTTTCTCAAGAATTTTTCTTGAGTGTCGCTTTAATTCTAAGAGCGAGTTGTATTATTCGATTTCTTCTGATGCATTCCCATTTAAAGTTTTGTATAAAATTCATAAATAATGAAATTGCCATAATTAATGAAATTTTCTTTTCGAAATATTTTTCGTGCTTTTAAATTGATCAAAACGAATTTTTAAATTGCAATTTTTATGAATTCGTAGTTGAAATAATAAAAAAACTTTAATCATATTTTATTTTATAAACATTGTAAGAGGAATAATTTTTCAGTAAAATTCACTGAAAATGTTAAAAATTGTTTTCTTAATTATCATATTACTGCATGAACAATTCGAATGCTGGCCAGATGGAGCGCCATGTATTCATTCAACCTTCGAATCGATGAATCCCCTTGAAGCAGTGGAACATCAGGGAGGGCTGCAGGTCTTTTGCAATATTTTATTATTATTATTTAGCCATTTTTACATCATCTTATAATCATTGTCACTATTAGTAATCAGTAATTTTTATTGTTTATTTACGCTTATCTTAAAAAATTTACTCAAAATATTAAGGAAAAATATTACAGCAACTATAAAATAAAATATAAAATATTAGCAAAATATTAGCAATATCAGCAACTTATGACCATTACCTTTTTTAAATAACGAAATATTTCACTGAACAACATAATTTGGATGATTTTCAGTTGACGCCGCCACCTTATGAAATTGTTGTTAAACAGAAGTGTTACTGGAAGGGGCAGCCGATTGAATGTAAGATTCACTAAAACTATCCTTTTTTCCTAATAATTTGGCTGGTTAATGGCAGATATTAAGGGTTAGTAAACGTAAATAAAATTCGAAATTATGTTCAATCATATGAATCTATAATTGTTTTACTTTTTGCATCGAATAATGCCCTATCAAATTAATGGTTCTATACAGTTAATGGTTCTTTTAATGGTTCTTTGTTCTTCAAACGGCATTTTTGATAAGGAACGTTATAAAACTGCTGAATCATAATCACCAAAATAACCACCTTTTGGATCTTGTATGATTTTTATGATTGCGCCAGGTTACGTAATGAGATATGAATTACAGTGTCTTTGAAAGGAAAAACTATAAAAGATCGATTTAAAGGTTTCGCTATACAACCAATATCGTTTAAAGGACCTAATCGAGGTACAAGGCAAGTTTCTTTTTTATTTTTTCATGAATTATCATTAAATTTTCCATTCGTTCCTAAGGATTCTTCTTAAAATATTTTCCTGAAGCTAAATATCATGCAATACGGAAACCGAATTATATAAACTTACAGAATTGGTCGATTTTTACGACTTGATAATAATGGTTCATGGCAGCAACAATGTTATCGTTATAGAAATTCTGTAACTCATTCTCACGATGAATTGAAAAAAAAAATGAAACTTTGGTGGAAAAATGACGATGATGATAGCAATTATGTTCAATTTGTGTATGTTATTTTTTTTGAAATGTCTTGGATTTACTTTAATATCGAATGGTCAGGCAAAAGACGGAATTGAGATGAGACAAAATCCGGAAAACAGTAGCTAGAAATGCATTCATCCGATTATAAAATCTTTATGGAGCACTCACGAAATCACCATAAAAACGACATTCTGTATCTATAACTGTAGTTCACTTGATCTTGCTATATGACTGCGAAATATGACCAATGAGAGTGGAAGGATATTAAGTTATTTTTCTTTTGACCACTCATGTCTAGAATATATTTTATTAGGGGTCACCAAACATCGATATCCACCTTCACTCAAATAGCATTAACTTCACATAGCGTCGTCTTTTTTGGTAAGGGTACGTTCTTCGTCACAAGAGTTAACACAAATTTGCGTCAAAAGCGAAACATACCAATCAAGACCTGGGCTCATACGGTTAGAAAAGATTTTGAACGAATAGATGAACCAGCAATATACGAATTTAGACGTTGGAAAAAGAGATGGCTTCTATTACTACTAGGGATGGCATCGGATCGAACAGCTTTAAAAAGTATTAGCCAGCGGAATAAGCTTAACTAGTAATGGTGAGAGCTGTTAGAAGAAGATCTTTTTTAAACAATAAACTAAATTTATTCGAAAGCCTAAACTTAAATAGTTGTAGTTCCATCTATAAAAAAGTGAAAAAATGAAAATGATAAATGGAAAAATAATAAAAAATAATATCCGATAATAATTCTTCGCAAATGAAACCAGAAAAACTATGGTTTATAAGATTCCATTACATTTGTTATTTGTTATTACAAGTATTATAAGTAAGAATTTTAGGGCAACAGTAGTGAAAAGTCAAAAGGAATTTTGGGTGAAGTCGATTTTATCGATTCCCATACCGCCTTGTCACTTAGAACCACTTGGTATGCGAGAAGAATATGTTCCACCACCAATCACTCCTCCGCCGCCGGTTTGTTTAATTTTATTTATTATCATCTTTTCTGAAAATTTTGCAATAACTTTTTGCTCAATTCTTGTATTGAAGTATAACCAAAATTAATAATACTATATCTGATAATATAATTATTCCAAAAAATATTATCAGCTCAAGAAAAAGGTAAGGAAAAGAAAATAATTTTGGCTTTTTTTATTTTCCAATACCCTTAGGGCAAAAAGGTGCAAAATTACAAATGAGATGGGCTTAACCAAATAATTTTAATATATTTAGTTAAAGATGTAAATAAATTCATAGATACTGACAAATTTTTATAGCTATTTTTATTTAAATTGAATTTTCAATTTCCTTAATTAGTTTTTGCTGCTTTTTTTAATTAGCTCGAAATTATTAACCACTAAATTCGAAGTTGTACACAAATGTCTTATATATAGTTGACGTTCCATTAATTAGTATATCGTTTGGTGAGAACAAGAAAATCAAGTGGCACATTGCTTTAACCAAGACCAAGCCATCATAACTACGATTCGTGCAAACTTGCTATTAAAGATGAAATTCAAGTTATGCTGAGAGCAGTTTTTTCATTCTCAAGCGACTATGAGGTAGTATCGTTTTATAGCCACTACGTTCAACCAAATCAGTGATATTAGAAGGTCAAAACGTTATTTATATTCATATACATCATTCTAATAATAGAGCTAAAGCTAATAGGACTTTTATAAAATAGTTTTTAAAGGAAAAAGGAATATAATTCGTTCAAGCTTCTTTTATCGTTTCACGAGATATCTAATTGCTTTACTTTTATTTTTCTTTTTTTTTTTTTTAAAATTTTCCTTGTTAAAATTTTTAATAAAAATATCTCATCTATAGAAAAATAATAGATGCCTTCAAAACACATTGAAAAATCGAAGAAAACAAGAAAATGATTGATTGTCTTGCGAGTGAAACTGAAATTTAGAATGGCTTTTCACTAACTAGTTATATCGCTATTTTATAAAATAAATTTGAAAAAAAAAATTTAAAATAAAAAACAAACATTCATTATTAAATTGGAAACTAATCATTATTAAATTAGAATTGGAATTGAATAAAATTAGAATTGAATTAGAATTGAACAAATTGCAACTAAAATTCTTTGAAAATATTTCACAAATATTTACTTCGCTAATCATATACTGAGGTACTTCGTCAAGTTCCACTCCTAATTACAATATAACATATTTTACATGTTTAATTTTAAATGCATAAACAACTGTTAAATGAATTGTATTCTAAATATTCATCATATAAATTTTAAAAAATGTGGTGAAAATTTTTATAAAAGCGTATTTGATCTCATATCAAATGAAAAAACCATCTGTGCATGCCATTATGTCGAAATAAAATTGATCTTATCATTCAGTAATTTCAAATTTCACCTTTTTTTTCAGGTTTTTCCAGTTTTGTGAAATTCAATTTTATGTTTTTATTTCATAATTTTTTAAAGGGGAAATAGAAGATGAAAAAAAGGGATAAAAACATTGTTTTATGGTTGTTTTAGCAATCATTTCACTTTATTTCTATTAAAAACGAAATTAAAAAAAAAGATTCTATCATTAAACTTTTTTTTTTAAAAATTTTTATGAAAAAATTTAGTTCTTACAGTAAAAAAGATTTTTAATGAAATTATAAAGTGTGAAATTAAATTATGGAAAAATTATGGTATAATAAAATTATTTATAGAATCAAACGAATATTCTATTTGTTTTTACCAAATAAATTTAATTTGATATTTAATATTTAAATTCCAATTTAATAATTTAATATTTTGTAATAAAAAAGAAAAAGCAATTTTTTGAATTAAATTATTAATTTTAAAATTAATATGTATTAAGGTTAAATCGTTTAAACTGGAAACTTTTCACATTTTTAACGGTGGCGATGATCAAATGAGTAAAATATTTCTTGTACGAAACCATCGTGAAAGAAGGCCAAAACCTCAAACGATGGAAGATGTATCGAAAGTAAATTTATATGCCTTTTCGGGCAATTCATAACAAAATTTTTCTAATCACTGAAGGATATATAAGTGAATACTAAAGCGTCGAATTGTATAACCATAAAATGGCACTCCAATCCTGCCAGAAAATCTTATTATAAAATCAAATTTTATATTGAAAAATTAAGCTGAAAAATAAAAAATAATAAATTCAGTAGAAAAATTTTCAGAGAATCGGGATAACGTAAAAATAACGTAAAAAGGTATAAAATTTTCCAGCATGAAATTGGTTTTTATAAGGTAGAACCTCGATTTTTGATTTCTTTCTTGTCCCATTAAGTCGATCCGAAGAATATTTATTTCAGGTTATCAACGTTAGCTCGCCAATACATTACGCAGTAACGAGGCCTACGTTCATTGTCCCTTCTCAGAGGTTTAATCCACAACTAATGCACATTGAGGTGATGCTTTTTTTGGTTTTATATTTGCATATTTTATTATAAACCAATTAAAATATTGTAAATGCAGTTCATAGCATTTTTTCTAAGACCTTTGTGCTTATTGCTTGCTACTTTTCGATGAAATTAGCGAAACTTTTATATCGATCTTCTCTTTATAGTCAAATAATAGGCCTATGCCTGTGCCGCAGCCTGCGGAATCAAATAAGCAAATTATTATTATCCAGCCTACAGCTCAAACGGATGTCAAAATCGATCAATTCAAGTAAAAAAAATTCTTTTAAGGCTGAATGAGAAAAACTATTTAAACTATATTCTAAAAGTGCTTTTTTTGCACCCTCATCGTATTTACCTACGAATAAGTCTATGAACCCAGCACATAGCAATTCTCCCTTAAAAGTCTCAGTTTGATAACTTTATTTTTTTCTAAGAATATCCACTATTTCTAGTTAGGCTGGCTTTGCTGGCTTATCAGAGCAGAAAAACTTTTCAAGAGAATCATTTGGCGCTAAAAATATAGGTGCCAGCATTATGAAAATGAAATGTTTTATAAGATAATCACCGGGATTTTCCGAAAAATATTTATGGCTTAGATGAAAATTTTTGTTGTAACATTGCTAATCATTCCTTAATAATAGCTAAAAATTTAAAACAATACAGAAAAACTAGTAAATAATATTTCCAGGCCATCACGAATGTCAGAAAGCGGAACGGTGCAAAATATTGGTTAGCCTTTCAGAATTTTTATTTGATATGATATGTAACATTAAAGGTAACAATATAAGAAAGATAACTTAAAAATTAAATCGTGCTCAACTTTTTTGGGTTGATTTTATTTCAAGCATCAACACGCGGCACAAAAAGATTTGAATGTCAGTAATTCTACCTAATTTTCTACTTCTATAATAATAATAATATAATAATAATAATAATAGTAATAATAGTAATAATAGCCAAGAAACTTTTAAGCCATCTCCATCTTTCTTGTAAAAATATGAAATTCTTCATTGCTAATAATGATTTTTTATTTTAAAAGCTGTATTCTATTCAGATAGTTTTTGTTACCACTTATGTCTAAGCACCATTTTAAATTCATTTTAACATTTAAGGGCAATGTTTCCACAAGTTTTTCGAATTATCAGCTTATCATAAAATCGAAAAAACTTTTAAGCCATTCTATATTTTCACAATTTTTTAAATTTTCAGGTTGTTATGATCGAAATCCAACGCCTCTCTGCACTGCTCGACGTTCGCTATGCGACACAAACCGATATGTGAGACATCGTTGTAGGAGGACGTGTAGATTTTGTTAAACTAAAAAGTCTTTCGGTGAGATGATTTAAAAATAAAATTTAATAAAGATGATCTAAAATAGCAAAAAAAACTTCTTTTTTTGCAATATTATTTCACAGCGCCATTACAATTATTGAATTAAAAAACTATCTTTAATTATGAACTTATTTTTAGATCATATGAGAGATAAGTAATAATGATGGTAAGCTTTATGTAGCTTGTCAAATTACGTATATACTTATAAGAAACTCACTATTTCTATCACTATCATTATTTCTGAATGGATTATCACTATCACTCTAACTTATCTGTTTTTGATTAGCTCTATTAGCTTATCAGATTAGACAAATTTTCCCACATAGCAAGCCACTTAATGATAAAAATTTTTTAGTTTTTGGGAGACAGGTTTGTTTCTGTCCGGAATAGAAGAATCCCAGCATCAGCGCTCTTAGCCATTCTACATCTTACATTGTAGAGGATCATGAATCATAAATATATTTTTGTTAAAATTTAATAAATAATCGAAATAAACTGCTTTAAAATCTTCGCCTTCTAATAGCTCTCACTATTACTGGTTAGACTGACTCCACTGGTTACAATAATAAGACGTAAAACCACTAATTTTTTTTTTTTTTTTTTCAGTTATAATTATTCTTTTCAGCCAATTTATATGTTTAATTTCAACGGATAAAGGAAAATATAAATCGAAATTCTATTGCAATTATATTCAAATAAAATTTCTTTTATAAATTCATAGAATATTTTTTTCCATTACTAATTTTTTTCATTATAATTTTTATTATATTATTTTCTATTTGTTATATTATTTATTATATTATATTATTTATATATTTATTTTATTATATTATTTTATCATTATTTTTATTGTTTTGAGCTATTTTAAAATTATTTTATTTTAAATAAATATAAATATAAGAAAATATAAGAAAACTTTTTTTCATAAACTTATTTTTAGAACCAACAAACAACAAGGATATGCATAAAACGAAAATGTACGACAAAACAATCGTTATTCTTACTAATATAAAAATATTCGAATTATTACTACTATTCTCTACATTCGACAAACGTTAATTTTATTTCACTTTAAAAAAAAAAATGTAGATTTTTTAAAAAAAAAATCAAATGAAATCACATAATAATAAGAATAACAGAACGATATTATCATAACGATGTTATCATGCTTTATATTGATGAGATGATTTCTCATATTTTTCACATCAAATATTTGATTAAAATGATTGTTATGCTGAATAAAAATTGATTGCTAGCACGTGGAATATATTTGTTTGAAATTTGTTTGGATTGATTTGAATTGATTATAGAAAATTCGAGGATAATTTATTAGCGGAATAGTACTATTAGCAATAATAATATTCAATAATTTGGCAATCCAGAAAAGTGCAAACTTAGATTAATTAGATTAATTAAATTCTTATCAATTAAAATAAAAATGAATTTATAAAATTAGAGAATATTATAACGAATGATTCGAATAGGTCGGCAAACGATCAATCCATGAAGATTGTGCATTTTATACAGCTACAATAATTTCGTTGTTTAGTTTTCTAAATTTCTGCGTTACTTTTCTTATCGAATAATGAATTTGACTGGATTTTGCTTTATAATAAAGACATTTCCAGAGAGAGCGTTCTTTCAACGGCTGAAATTATCTGCTTAAAAATCTGCTTAAATCTGCTAGGCTAAGCTATGTTAAGATTACCGAATATATAAAAAATTATTATCATTATTATCAAATATTATCAAAATTATTATCAAATATTATCAAAAAATTATTATCACTATCATAATTATTATCATTTTGACTTCACTGATAGTTTAAACATTTATCGTAAATGTTTGTTATCAATTAGGCCAATAGACGGTCATTCGAATAATTCTTCTTCTTCACCATTACTGGTTAGGCTGGCTCCGCTGGTTACAAGAGTAAGGCGTCTCCAAGCTACTCGGTCCGACGCTATCGCTAGTAGTAATAGAAGCTATTCCTTTTTCCATCGTCTAAATCTATATATCGCTGGTTCCCTTATACGTTCAAAATTTTTCCTGACTATATCAGTCCAGGTCTTAATTGAGACGCTCCTGGCTTTTGACGCCAACCATCACAGGGTTCGGCAAGCAGTGAAATATACGTCAACTCCTGTGGTGGACGACGGAGAACGTGCGAACTAGCGAAGACGGCGCTCTGTGATAACATTATTGACACATTATTGGCGGTATTTGAGCAAAGATGGATCATGTGCGATTCGAATAATTATCTTTGAATCCTTGGATCTTTTGGCACAAATGGTATTAAATGATAAAGACAAGGGCTTATTATAAATCAGGAAATTAACACCTGATTTCTTCACGTTTGATTATCAGTCTCTTTCGTTTAATAAATCATCGTATTAATAATATATACTTGAAGTTTCAAGTAACGATTGACTTATATGAACCAATTTAAACATCGTTCGAAAAATTCATTAGTTTAGTACTCTCTATCAACTGATTCCGAATCAAAAGATTCAATATAATAATAGCAGATTCGTATTATTGATAAGCTCCATTCGCTCCATTTAGAAAACTCAACGCTAAGAATTTTTAGTCGATTTCATCGCTATTTTACTTTGATCAGATAATAATATAATATCGCAAAATACAAAAAATAATAATTTATCTTAATTTCATAAATTTGTTAAATCAAAAGGTTTTGTTTTCCTACTAGTTGTTTTTTTTTCTGCCTTAATTGTTTTTAAAACGATGTTTCGATCTGCTTGATTCAATGAAATAAATAAATAAACGATGACGATTAAAGAATTTAAATTGCCAGTGCAAATTTTTTAAGATTATTTAGTTATAGCTTAAAGCTTAATTTATGATAGATTGTACCGATTTTTTTATCATTAGTTTCTATTTTTTATTTATTCTTATTATCCGAGTATAATATTGTAATATTTATTATTAATGCTATCATATCGATATCATTTTTCTATAACCAGTCATTATCTAAATAAATAACGAATGAATCTCACGTGCCAGCAACCAATTTTTTCAATACAACAATCAGTTAAAAAAAAAACAATTAGATGTACATCTCGGGGAAACCACATAAAAACGTAAGGGTATTCAATCCTTTACATCCACTAAGACTGGGATTTCAAATTTAAAAAATTAGTTCTAATAAATTTCAATAAATTTGATTCGATATACAATTATGAAATACAACTGTTTACTCGAGTTCATACATAAAAATTGAATCAAAATGGTGAAAAATTATTAAACAATATTATCGACATCTACATGAACATCGGCAATGCAACGCAGGCACTTTTCGGTTATCTGGTCCACAGCAAAATAACGACGAAGAAAAATATTTTTAAATGTTCTTTTTTACTTCTTTATTTCTATTCATTCGCCTTTTCGCCTTTATTCCCTCTCATCGAATTATCGATAATTGAAATAAATCATGTCTCGTTTTAACCTTCTACCATCATCGCATTTTTTCCTGTGATCGTACTTTTTTAAACCAATAATTAAGAAATGTACTAGACCAGATAAAGAAGAAGCACCGCACTATGTATTAGCAAAAATAATGAAGCAATCTTCCATTCAGATTTTTCAACCTCCATAAATGAATCCCTTATCCAATTCTTAAACCCTAATATCTCCTATTATCCTGTCATATTAACGGAGAAAGCGTTCGAAACAAATAATCTTAGGAATAAATTCACAATAACTAATACAAATTATCAAAACAACAAGAAAAACAATCTAACTAAATGCTAATACATCTCAACATAAATCTAAAATACAAATTTAGAAAATAAAAATATATAAACCAAAAAATGTATTCTTTTTCGATTCACGATGTCTTTAATTTACACTTTTCTGCGGCTTCTCCGCTAATCCTCTCGTAAACTTCCATCATTTGTTCACGTACTCTATCAGTTAGCAAGGGTACATCGTCCAAACTCATCTAAAATGAACTATTTATTTCCTAAATTTCATCCTGTTTACACAACATTGGTTTATTTTACCATAATAAGAAAACAAACATTTTTGGTTAATACCGGTTCCATGACTTCAATAATAACGTAACCATATTCATTGAAGATTCTTAAATTTTTATCATAGAATGGTCGATATGAAGATATTACCACTGGTACAATGGGGATTTGCACCTGAAATCTATAAAATTAAGAAAGATCACTGGAACAGTTAGATCAGGAACTTCTAAAAAATATGGATTCATCTCTGTGAATGGATTTTTAAGAAATTGGAATTGGAAATAAAGCATACTGCAAAAAAATCCACTGCCATTACCTGAACAGCGATGTTAAAAGCACCTTTTTTGAAAGCCAGCATACCACCTTCATGGTTTCTAGTTCCTTCCGGAAATACCCAAACACTTGTATTTTTGGCTATAATTGTATCTGCGGAAGTTTTAATCGCATGAACTGCTTTCGTGTGACAAAAACGATCAACATATATCGCTCTCGACTCAAAAATTATTTTGATGGAGCGGAATACTATATAACAAATGAAAATCAACAAACAAACTCTTCTTCTTCTTCTAATTACATTATTTCTGACAGATCACTCGCCGGCATCAATTCCAGTTTTATCTTTAGCAATTTGTTTCTATTTTCGGTTACAGGCTTGGTCTTGTCAAGAGACAAGAGCCGAGCTCCAGCTGCTTGTCACCAGGCGAAGCAATTTCCCGGAAATTAAATAAGATTAATAGAAAAAGAAAGATAACGAACAAGAAATGCCACATAATTGAGGAAAGGTACCCATCGCAACGACTGTTTCATCATCACTGTGCAACGTTCAGGCCAAACGTGAGCAAGTGATAAAATATCCAGAGAACTCTAAAACTTTGAAAAATAATTTAAAACACTAACTTTCACGTTATATATCAATTATTGAGCGAAAAAAACATACGAAAAACCCTCTTATCCCACAGATTTAATTAGTTATAAGAAAAATAAAATTAGGAGCAAAAAGATTAAAAAGTTAAATGTAGCTTCATTATCATAATTCAGTCGAAAAAATCTTAATAGCAAAACGAATGAAATTTTGGAAAAAAAATTTCTATGAAAATTTATATTATTTTTTACCTGATGGTTGGATACAACAACAAAAGGCCCGATTCCATCAAAATTTTGAGATCCGCGCACTTCGTATTTTATATTTGTCCAAGATGCAAGGATGCGAAATGCACCAAAAATGAATTTTGGTACCTTAAAAATATAATCCTGAGATTACATAATTATTTTCTTTTTTCTATCAAATTGCAAATTATACTATAACAAACTTACATCCCCGAAGAAATAAATTGCCGTACTAATAGTACAACAAAGAATTGTAGTTGTCAATACTGTTAAATAATAAGCTATCATTTTAATGAAATATCGACAAATAGGGATTTTTGTTAAAAAAAAAATGATAATAGTACAAAGACAAGCAAAAATTAATAATCGACATTTCAAACATGGAAAATCTGATTCGCCATGAGTTTTCTCCATTATAAAATTGTATGCTGAAATAACAAACAGCTGCATGAAAGAAATAAAAAAACATCTCTTAATTGAGAAGGAAAAGAAATCATGAATGAAACGATACGCTTTATTTTCTTGATCTCATAAATAGGCTAAATCAAATGAGTAAATCTGCCATTAAAATCCTGATAATCCCAGTTAGAAATCTACTTCTGTATTCAGGCGCATTTATCGCATTTATTACGACAAGGAGTGTAAATTTTAGAAGGAAACGATGAAAAAAAAAAAAAATGTCAAATAGCCTGCTCTAAAGAATAAAACTGATCATTAATTAAAAAAACGTTCTAAAATATGTGAATGAGGTAGAATATTCCTATTTACAAGGAAAATTAAATAGAAAATGGTTAAAATTATGAAAACTTTTTTATTAATTAATCACGATAGAATACATTTAATGAATTCACAAATAAAATTCGTATTGTCAAAATTAATAATAATAATACCCGACACCATAAATTCCAAAAGAAAATACAAAAAAAATATGTAAAAATGATCCTTAATGAACAAAAAGGATTTTCGATAAGCCTAAATCTCCGTACAACGAAAAATATTTAAAATATAATAAATACGTATCATTTTAAATTTCAAATCATTTTAAAAAAAGCAAAAATTAACTTTAAACAACAGAAAAAATTACAACACATTAAGGCAATCATTCAATTATGGCTTTTTCAATAAAGCTTCATAATCGATTTCATCATCGGGAAGCAGAGGATGACCACTTTTTATTCCAGTTTGACCAAGACCCATTCCACTAAGTGCCATCTGGGCAAGATTCATACTGCTATTATCGACAGTAGCAACACCACTACAAAAAAAATATTAGTGGGAAAGAGAAACAATAAATGGTAAAACCAGTTCACAGTTCCAGATATATTTTCTAGATAAAATTAAAATTGGCAAAAAATTTTTGCAGGTTCTTACCGAGTCAACAACCACATTAACAACGGTTGCGTAAAAGAAATATAAATAATCAAATACAGTTTACGTTTGCGGCCACCGTCTTGACTATACATACTCTGTATATCCAATATGGACTTTCGGATAGTACTTAACTGAAAATCCATCAATTTTAAAATATTTTTAAATATGATCTTAAAGTTCGACAATTTCAAAAAATTCAAAACAATAAAATATCCAACAGCAAGAAACTAACCAGAAAAAACACGACAGCCAGTGACATATATATTAACGCAGAATAATAAGCAGTTTTACCACCGACAAAGGAAGCAAGAAGACTTATATTCATTCTATAAAAAAAGTGTAGTGTAAATAGCAATTTATTTAAGTCAAAAAATATATGCTATTATATTTGACCATGAATTTATTTACATATTAAAACGAATGAAGGAGAAAAATATGAGCAATATATATACCCCACAAATTTATAGCTGCTATAAGCCAAAGTGTGCCAAACTGTAAGCGCTTCAGAGATATTCATAATATATCTAGTTACAAAAAGTATGACATTTTCGAATAGCAGATAAACAAGAGCATTTGTTGTAATAATGCCAAGCTGTTCAGGAGTAAATCTTGAATATACTAGGATTTAATTATTATAAGAACAATCTTTCTAAATCGTATGAAAAATGAATGAGAAATCAAGCATTTGCATATGTAATAAAAATTGTGAAAAATCAATAAAAACTGGTCAAAGATACTAAAATTTTCTCACTAAGATCCAACGAAGCATATCAATAGAAAAAAGTCTGTTTCTGACAAAAATAAAGTACGGTATAAGAAAACGATGCTGACCTTCCTTGAACTCCGAGCACAAAACCGGAAATAAGTACATAAGTTATAAAAGCCATCAATGGTATATATAGATCAGGTGCATTAACGTCAAATCGAGCTGGCACGGGTTGACCACCATCATCGTGCATTACGTTCCACTGCTAAAAAATACTGATATAAACAATATTTTTCGGATAATTGCATAATTTCGAAAATAGCATAATACGAATAATCTCAGAAACCTAAAAAGTCAAATAATTATAAAAAGTCAATATCTTCCCCTTCTATATCATTTCCACAGTATCTGATTTTAACAAAAATATTACATATATTCTAAATCGAATGGGACGAATAAAGCAAATTTTTACAAATTATTATTTAGGATAGAAGCTACTTAAAAAAATGAATAACATATAAAAACATATGAATACCTTATGAAAAAATGGAAATGTGAGGATAGCCAGTTTTTTGCCAACATATGCATTGTCAACAGCAAAATAATATTTTAATTTGAATGCGGAAAGATATTTCGAAAGCTATAAATCAATAACCCAATTAACAATATTTAAAAAGAAAATATATGAGAATTACAAAAGGGAAACACCATTAGAATGCAAAAAAAACTAAAAATAAAAATTAAAACCACTTTTACTTTGCTGAAACTTTAAATTAAAACAATCAAACAAGCAAAATTTGCAGAATTTTATAGAAATTACAGCAAAAAAATCAGAATTATTTTACAGTAAACGCAGAAAAATTGTGCATAACGACAGAAAAAAAATTCAAACCTTTTCTTTTTGCTGTTCCGCAAATTGACCGCCAATCTGCCGAGCCATATTAAACATTGGATCAGACATTAATTGGCCTGGAAGAGTTGATCTGTCATGATGATTTACCGCGAATTAAAAACAATAAAACAAAACGGTTGCAGAACAATAAAAAAAAAAAGGAAAATGAACTAACTTTGCATATCATAATACCCCACTGGAGAAGCAGCTTGTTGATGAAACGGTTGATAACCTGTATTCATATTAGATGGTGGAGTGAATTTAAGAGCTTGTTCGCTATAATAATCATGCACTCTAAAAATTACTACATATATTCAAATTAAATTAGTACTGATATAGCAAGGCTTTTTACTATTTAATTTTATTTTGTTGCTCTTTATGAAAAGTTGCCTAAACTTATTAAGAATTATTAAATATAAATCTTTACTCGATTAAACTCAAACTATTTTCAAACCATTATTAGAATGTCTAAAAATCATTTCATGTAATCTCAATGATAGATAAAAATCTCAGGAAGGATCATAACGAATACATTGTGAATTAATAAATTTATAAATTAATAAAATTAGCTTTTTATATATTCATTTTTAAAAGAATTAACCGGTACTATCAAATTCTTGATATTGTTAAATTTATTTCCAGAGAACTTAATATTGTGTTCCGTTAGATAATGATGATGAATTTTTTTTTAAACAGCTCTCATCATTGTTGGTTAGATTCGTTTCGCTAGCTTTTCGGACTAGACTACATACCAGAAAATCTCTTGGCAATAGAAATACACGTGAATTGCCAGCATCATCAGCAGACCAATGAACAATGATGAACTACGAATAGTAAAATCTTGACTAAACCTGATATTAAATAACTTCATAGAAATTTGTGTTATCACAATCATAATAAAATAAACATATTTCAATAATTTAAAAATATAATAATAGATCACAACGACTTATACGAATAGTCATCTGCACATGGAAAAATACGGGAGTAATCTAGTGGGAGCAAAATTAAACACGGTAAAATCTCTATAAGGAAGATTATTTACTACAATAAAGGTTCAAATAAATGCCCCATACCCCATATTTGTTTTGCATCTATGAATATGACTGGAAATTTCATGAATCAATAATAAAAAATAATAAAAATAAAAAATCTTGAGAACGATTAAAATAGATGAAATAGATGCAACAAATATTATTTATATTATTTATTATTTATATTTATATTTATATTCATATAATTTTAGTCATATAATTCTTTTTTAGCATAATTAATATAAATTAATCAAATTTTTAAAAAAAAGAAATTTTTTAAAAATATTTAAAATTAAAAATAAATATAAAGAAGAAAAAAAAAAAAACAAACGGTTGTTGCGTACGATGTGTTATGTGAGGTGACTGAAATCGTTGTGAAATATCTGATTGTTGATTTCTTTCATAATAATTTGAAAATTGATGAAAAGATTTCGATGAGGAATTTTCATTTTCCATTTTTTCTTAAAAAATAAAAAATAAAAAAAAAATTTAAAAGAATTATTTATTTCTTAAATTATTCGCTTATAATATTTTATTTTAAAATATATAAAAATATTAATAAAAGTAAAATAAATAAATAGTTTTTTAAAAATGCTTTTTAAAAAATAATTTTAAGCAATTCTCTTCATAAAAATAAATATTAACGAAACCATTCATTGTATAAAAATTCACTATTCACTATTTGATGATTTTATTCCCCGTAGGAAAAAATTGCCTATCGAAAATCGGAGAAATCGAAGCTGCCCGCTCACATGCTAGTTCGATCGTCAAATGAACCCTCCGGCTATTTATTTAATTCAATAAGCCAAGCTTAACGAATCTAACTAGAAATGATGAACGCTATTTTAAAAAAAAATTATGCAAACAAAATTATCCAACACAGCAACTCTGGCAAAAATGCGGCCGCAGCCCTTTTCAAAATTTTCGTGGTTCAGGATTTGCATACAGACTGAAGAAGACTTATTGAGCAAAATTTCTCGGAGAAAATTTGTTAATCCATCTTATCCGCATGATATTTCAAAATTTTAATGGGTGGTTCCGATGTCCTAATTTGGTAGATCTCTTTACTGATGTTGTTTTTGCTTTGAGGTAGAAAAAGCGAAATTTATTTATCATCACTTATCACTTATCAGCACTTATCACTTGTATGACATCAAATTGAGAGCCTTAGAAAAAGCTTTACTCTTGTGGAGAATGGAATTAGCCAAACCAGCAATGTTGTTGTGATGTTCGGCAATTTTAGTAATGAAATATTTTTTAGAATTTTTTTGTTTTTTAAAATAATTTCGTGAAAATTTTATGATTTTATATTTTTATTCTTATAATATACATTCGATTTATGTCTATCATTTTTAAAAAATTCCTTTTTTGATAATTTTTATAGATTTTCGATGAAAAAACATAAATGATTTTTTTTGCAAATCGAAAGCGAATTAATAGTTATGATAATTGAACTGGTTTAATTCAGTTCAATTATGGTATGGTCAGAGTAAAATATACGAATGTGCATATCCTATGAGGCAATTCGCAAAAATAATAAAGAAGATTATAAGTACCAAGAAGAGCTAACAGTAATTTAATACTGCGAGATGGTTCAATTTTCGTCTTCTGCTAGGTGTGGTAATTTTAAATGTTGAACAATGGTCCAATTCTCCTTCATTTAATCTTTATGGAAATATTCAGTTGATCTCATGAAATATCCAAGAAGGATCTTTCGAAGATTCATCTCGATTCACGCTTCTCGAAATTCACTTTTACGCATTGAAAACTATTAGGATAAATATCCACGTCTTCTATTATTATTGTGCATTAGTTCTAATCATTTTGATTTCAAACGAATAATTTTGCTTTACGCTAAAGTTGAAATCTAAAAAAAGGTAAAAAGTACTTTATAGTGAGAAAAGAAATGAAGCAAATCAGTTTAGCAATTTGAATGTTGTAAAGTACCAATTAATCCGAGAAAAATATTATAATCAATAAATTTTTTGATGGATTCATTGATGCATGTAATAAAGAATTTTATAAATCTATACCTGATTTTCTAATTATATATATATACATATTAATTCTCTATGATTTTGAAAATTCTAACGGTGATAGCGGTATGAAAATATTCACGAAATATTATCGCATAAATCATGGGTAATTCACTATCAATTATTCCAGTAATATATATTAATAACAGCGGTTCATTTGACGAAAACGATTTTCACGAATATTTAATTTTGTATCAAAAGATGAAAACAATTTTCACAAATTTTTAATTTTTTTTGGTTTTTAAAACTGGTATTTTGTATTTACTGATAAGAATATGAAATGATAAAAGATTAGAAAAACATAAATTTTACTGTCATTTAAAAAATTAATTTAATATTCGTTTCTGATTTGATTAATACTACTGATTATCGTTTGAGAATCACTTAAAGATGAAATTACAAGTTTATCAAAAAATTTATTTTGAATTAACAAAGTATGAAAAGTTGTAAATTTTATTGAAAATGCAACAAATTTATGCAATAAATAAAAATTTTTCAAAAGTAAATGATTTTGTTCTGCTTTCTTTATTGCTTTCTTCTAAACTATTAGTATAAGCAAAGAATGAGGCAGAATTTTAAGCGAAATTCTGAATTTTAAAGAGGTGTATTATTGAAAATATAGAAATATTCAAAATTGCGTTAAAATTTCCTAATCATAGAAATTCCAATAAATATAGAAAAAAGAGCGTAGATTAATATGGCAGAATATTGAAAGCCTACAAACTTCTGCTATGTTTTCAGTTTTTGCAGAGCATTCTCGATACACTACCATCGATAAATGTTAATGGTTTGTAAAAAAAAAAAATTATTTATTTTTTGATAATAGCAAAATCAATGCTATGTAATCGAAATTTATTTATTGATAGCTTGGATAATGGACATCTCTCGTCGGCACTTAAGAGATACGAAGACAGTCGATAGTATCGTATCACAATTCTTGAATACGCTGATAATGTAATCGTTTTTGCTGATAGTTATGAGGAAATGCAAATGCATAAGTAAAGTGTCGATTATAATGAAAATCGACTCAAGATCAATGTAAATAAACCGAAAATCATTTTGTCTCATATACAAGAAGCTATTTTTATCAATTCATCGCTGGTTGAGGAGGTGCCAGATTTTCAATATCTTGGAAGCGAAAGATAAAATTGCATTCAGGATAACTGCAGCTAGAAATACAATACTTTCTTTCAGTTAGTTTTATGGAGTCGCCGCGAAATCACTGTAGAATGCGTCTACATATCTGCAATTCGCTGATATTTCTATGCGAGACATTCCCGATGATAGTGGAGAATATTAAGAAGTTATCTATCTTTGACCATTCATGTCTAACGTATATTTTACGGATCGAGAGATAAAATTTTAGATTATTGCATCGGGTCTCTCAAATACCACTTGCATTAAAAGTATTATAATAGAGGGTCGCCTTCGCTGGTCTCCAAATTCTTCGTTAACACGTATTTCATTATTTGCTAAACGCTGTAGTGGATAGCACCAAAAGCAAAGAGGGCCAATCAAGACTTGGATTGATACAGTCAAGAACGATTTTGAACCAGCGATGTATGGAAAGCGGAAAAATGAATGACCTCTGTCAACGATGGCATCGCAACGAACATCTTGAAGATCCTTGTAAGCCAACAGAACCAACCTAACCGGTGCGAGCTTTTTGTGAATAAAAAAGAACAATTTAAAGTGCATCCTAAATTGCTGTTTATTTATTTATAGTAATTATTGTTGAAGGTGCAATGAAAATTTGTCAAATATATAGATAAATCCTAATCAAAATCGTCAACGACAATATAATTTATAATTACTACAATCGATCAAAATTAAGCAATTATAACTTTCCCATAGTACAAATTTTTTTAAAGCTTTAATTTTCATTATTTTAAATATTTTTAAAAATTTTTATAACAATTTCATATAAAATATAAATATATATTACAAAATTTATTTATAAATGAATTTATAAATAAATAAATGAAAAATTGACAAATTAATATAAAAATAACATAAGTTTTACATAAAAATATTTGTTCTTTCTTTTTTAGTTAGTTATAAAGAAATTCGAAGAAAATTTTCAGTGTTTGAAGAGCGTTGTACGCATACACATGCGCTATTACAATGTCCACCATGCACTCGGCAACCCGTATCTTGACAATGTGAACCCATATCAGCGCATAGTGAATATGTTAGAGTAGCAACTGATAG